TAACCAAATACAGTTTGTCTTTTCATGAAAGCCAAAGGATGGGTTTACATTTTAAGTTTTGAGGCACATTATGAATTTTTTGGTATACCCCCAGAACTCTTCCCTTTCAGCACACAACCACCCTTAAAGGGAAGTTATTAAAGTGTTTCCTGTTACCACTTATCATTTATAAATACCCCAAATCTGAGCTCCATGGGACATAGGCAGTGTGCACCTGGTTCAGGGTTGTATCTACTCTAAGTCAGGTTGTATCTACTCAAAGAGCTGCTGACTATGTAGTAAATACAGTTTTTTGGTTCTCCTTCCATGGCAGTCTGGATGAACACATACCCTTACTATTCCTTCCTAATCTTGGGAAACTTCATGGGGAGCTTTTCATGCTTTTCATCAGCCACAAAGCTGGTGCTTTTGTCACTAAGATGTCAATATCCCATCTCTGAAAGCAGGTGTTTTGTATGGGCACAGGGAATGCAGTGTCCTGGACATTGGCAGGTGTGGCAGGAAGCTCACCTGAGGCTACCCCGGCTGGGGGGCCCTCCCCAGCCTCATACTGACATTGAGTGTGTAAGTCCTTAGGTCTAGGCATCCACCTTCCAGGGGCATTTCCCCACAAAGGGGTTTTTGATCAGTTCTGATGTCAAAGATCCTAGGTAGCTCCTCTGAGGTTTTAGCTTTTCTGAAATAGAGAATTCTTACTTTGTCCACTGTCTCACAAATGTGCAGGGAGAATCAAATGAAGAACCAAAAGCACTTAGAATGAGCTCTTTCAAAGAAGTGCCCTTGTACTGAACTGTGCCATTCCTTCACTAATGAATCACTGTTGTTGAGGACAAGCGATAGACTTCTGTCCTGGGGAAAGCCTCCCTGTGCTCACATCCCCCTTAACTTGTTCCTCAGAAAGCCAGCATTCTTGTTTCCTGAGCTATAGTGGATTTTTACCCATATTGTATAATTTCTTTTTTTAAAGTTTCTTTATAACTATCCCATGGAATTAGAGGTATAAGATTTTGTTTTGAAATGTAGAATTAAGACAGGAAGACTAAGGAAATAATTTTATATAAAACCACACATACATTTATTTTAATAAAGTTGAAATAAAGGAAAAATCTCTCTGGCTTAATACTATAATTTTCCTGTAAAGTCTATGTAAGTTTTAAACTAGTACTTTGGAATTAAATTATACCAAAGGCCAGTAATCCATATCATGAGCAAAGCATTAAACTTTGCCACCATAATTGCTTAGCATGCCCTTGTGTTCATTTTGAAAGTTATTTTTCTGTAACAAAAGTGGTACTCCTTCTAGAAAAATTGAGAAAGTGTTTTAAAATACAGAAATCACAAGAAAATAACTTGTAATCTTACCACTCAGAGCTAAACTAACCATTGTTGCCATTTTATGGATACACAAATATAGAAACACATATATGGTATTATTTTTCTGTGCAGAAAGGATACACACTTCTTTTTACCCCACATTGATGTTACTGCATATGCTGTTTTGAGTATATATCAGAATGCGTTTGACTTCTAATAAGGAACCCCTAACTTAAACAAGTTTAAACATCATCTCATGAAATAAGAAGCCCAGAGCTAAGATGGGCTACAGGTTGGTGAATTTTGAAAATCAAAGACCCAGCTACTTTCTGTTCTTTCTGTCCTGCTACCAATGTTATCACTTCATGCTAATGTTATTCCCTGTGGTCATAAAATTGCCACAGTGAACTCTGGGACAGCATGTTTCCTTGCTCACATCTAGTGGAAGAAAAAACTCCAACCATGGAATGGAAGTCCTGCCCTTCAGTCTGGTGGTACTGACTCAGGTGCAGCTTCCCCAGACCAGTGACAGTCACCAGACATATGCCACAACCTGGCCTATGCCTGGTTTCCTCTATTGATCAGTGGCAAGAGGGATTGAATTACGGGGATTAGCCTAGATGAGTTGAGGTCAACTCCCCAACCACATGGCTACTATAAATGGCAGAGACGGAGAATAATGTTGAAGTCAACCCCCACCTCATAACCTAACCTTCTCAGTGACTATTTGATGAACATATATAAGGGTCTTTTTAAAGGATCTCGTAGCTTACTTTCTCATCGTTGCCTTCAGGCTGGGTCGGCTTTGTTCCAGCTCTCAGAATCCTGTCTGTCCTCCCACTTTTGTTTGCACCCTGCCTTCCTTCATGGTTCGGGAGGTGGCTACAGCCACTGGGGCCCACACCTCCTGCCTGGCCTCCAGCTGGAGTGAGGAGATGCTCCTTGCCTTTGGGCCCCATAACAGTTGCTCATTGTCTTGAACAGGCCCTGGTCCCTTTACTGGCCACAAGATCCAAGCCTGGAGGTGGGAATGGGGCCAACTGCCTCACAGATGGCTGCCTGGGGAAGGTGTGGGTACAACACAATCAGGGTCTGTTAGGAAAGAAGACTCAGGGAATAGACGTGTGATACCCACTTCACTGTCCTTAAAAATTGTTCTTCTGCTTAAGCATTACAACAATTATCAGAATTTGAAATTATTATGAATGTCTTTAAATATTATACTTTTTGTAAGATAAATTTTAGCCAAAATAAGCAGACAAAGAGAGGCAACAAAGGGCCAGGTAGTTTATTTGAATGCCACCCCCCGGGTGATGTTCCGCAGTCTGAAACACAGGCCAGGGAAGTCACACCCGGCAGGGCAGGCAGCAAGTTTTTAAAGAAGGCAGGGGGAGGGAGAGCAAAGGTGTACAGTGGCGGGAGGATTGGCTCGCCTAGGGTACGTGGGGGGTCTCTCATTGGTCTTTAGCCAGGTACTGGAAAGTTACCACTAATCTTTTAGCTTGGGGGAAGGGCTCTAGTTGGGAGGGTTATCCAATCAGGCTCTGGAATGTTGTCAGACCGGAACCTGTTGGTCTCTTCGCCTCGTTTGGTGAGGCCTGAGCTTGTCCATCAGGCTCACCCCTTCCCCTGATGCCTGCAGCCTAACACTTTTCACTAAAAAAGTAAGTTTCTTTTTGTAGAACTGCATTGTGCAGAAAGCGATGGATAGAAAGAAAACATAAAGTCTCCTGGGGAACAGCTTCATTAATCAAATGTTCTCCAAAGTTTGAGCATTTTTGTGGTGTCATTTTTGGCAATACAC